CAAATACATTGCTTTTGTATCAGAACTGATCATTAATGGGGCAAAGGGTATAGTAAGATAAAAAGGGAGAGGCTGGGCGCAGTGGCTCATGGCTATAATCCCAGCACTTTGGAAGGCTGACGCAGGTGGATCACCGGAGTTTAGGAGCTCGAAACTAGCCTGGTCAACATGGTGAAACCCTGACTCTACTAAAAATACAAAAATTAGCTGGGCGTGGTGGCAAGAACCTGTAATCCCAGCTACTCAGGGAGGCTGAGGTAGCAGAATCACTTGAACCTGGGAGGCAGAGGTTACAATGAGCTGAGATCGCTCCACTGCACTTCAGCCTGGGCAACAGAGAGAGACTCTGTCTCAAAAAAAAAAAAAAAAAAGAAAGAAAGACATAAAGAAAAAGAAGAAACGGGACAGAAATGCAGTAATAGAATGTTACCTTCCAATATTCCAGCCAATAGCGACAGTGGGTTATCAACTTAACTGCTTTTATATTTTGAAAAAAATAATCTGTCTTTTCAAAACTTTTAAGGTATGACATACATACAAAACAGTGTACAAATCACAAATTTTGATAAATTTTCACAAGATGTAAGATAAATTTTCACCCAGATTAAGAAAGAGAATATTCCCAACACAGCAAAATCATTTATTATGTAGTCTCCCAGTCACTACTACAGAAACCACTTTCCAATCTAGTTTCTCCTGTTTTGGAATGTCACATAAAATAAAACATGCAGAATAAACTTCTCATGACTGACTTATTTAATACTATGCTTGTGAAGTTTATCCACATTGTTGCACCTGGCAGTAACCTATTTAGTCTCACTGCTGTATTTTTTTTTTTTTTAATTTCTGATTTGGGTTTTTTTTTTTTTTTTTTTTTAAGCAATGAATTATCAACTTTACTGTTGGACATCTGGTTTGTTGCCAGTTTGAAGCTCTTACAAATAATGCTGCTTCTACACTTTCTCATACATCAATATGATATGGTAATATGGTTTTTTAAATAACATTAGATTCTCTAAGCAAATATTCTTAAACATTTCTTTTTTTGAGACAGGATCTCCTTCTGTTGCCCAGACTTGAGCACAGTGGCACAAAACACGGTTCACTGCAGCCTCAACTTCTTGGGCTGAAGCAATCCTCCTGCCTCAGCCTCCCAACTTAGTAGGACTACAGGCATGCACCATCATGCATGAGTAATTTTTTAAATTTTTTTGTAGAGACAGGGTCTCCTTTGTTGCCCAGGCTGGTCTCAAACTCCTGGTAACAGTTACTTTAACCCAAAGATTCAGTGGGTCCACTAAATCAGATGTGAATATAAAATTACTTTTTTAACTAACTTTAGATAACAACATAAGAACAACAGCTGTATCTATGACTTTGTTACCAACAAAAATCACAGATAATTCTATATAATGTTACAGCTAGCAACATGATAGGTATTGCAAAATATCATTCATAACACTCATGGCTACTTTGAAATTACAGCAATGAAACCCCCACCACTAGCTTTTGATATTTAATGACCTATTAAAGAAATATCTCTATTACTATATCACAAATTTGGTGTTTAATAGTTTGATAATTATTATCAAATGTAAGTGTACTTAGTTCTGGGCATTTTATTTATAGGTTTAAAAATGTTATTCTGAGAAGAGATCCATAGGCTTCACCAGACTGCTAAAGGGATTCATCACACACAGAATAAGGTTAAAAATCTATGCTTTATTTAACTAAGATGTAGGTGTAACACAGAAGGCATAGGGGATAACTTTCAAGAGCCATGTAAGGAGTATAACATATTGAGGGAAAGAAGAGGCTTTAAATTACTAATCAAATTAAGGTCAAGTTCACCAGGAAAAAAAAAAATGTACCTAACTTGGGAAGGAGGGATATGGAAATACAGAAAGAAGGATTTGTGTAAACTAGGAGAGGCTGACTAGGGGAACAAAAAGACCAATCTAATGGAATTGAAGAAAAAGGAGAGGAATGAACCTGTACAAGGTCTAGGCAGGTCCTGTCCTCTCAAAAAGAAAAATACAATCTAAGCCCCCATGAGGAATCAAGCAGCCAGATAACTTAAGGAAGTAAGATTTACCATTAGGCATTTAAGGGACGGCTGAATACATCTAGTCTGATTTTAAGGACAACTGTGTTATAAAACATATCTCCCTAACTGCTTGCTACTGATAAAATTATTTTATGAGGGATAAGAAGCCTCTGTTTCATATTTACACAAGTAGATAGTATTAAATGAAAATGTTTGGTTTTGTTTAGATTTCTCCACAATGTACTGATTCATTGAAGCCTTCCATCACCTGTTATGTTGACCTCAACTCCTGTCACTATCAATGACTTCAATCTTCACATACATCTGTATTTTTAAAATTCTGCATGTAAGAATCACTTGAACTTTTAAATACTGAGGTCCACATCACACCCACAGAGATGATAAGTTAATTATCTAAGATGGGGCCCATATAGTGGTACTGAAGAGCTCTCTAGGAAATTTTAATGTACAGCAAGGATTGAGAGCTTCTAATCTAAACCACAAATCCAAAGTCTATCCTAAGAGTTTCTTTGCTCTCAACTCCAATAACTTACACTAGCTCTCTATTCTCACTGTTACACACTGAACTTCACTCAAAACTGTTGCATCTTGGCAACCCCACACTCTAAAATATCAATTGTCTATTGTTCTGCCACACTAAAGCCTTTCCCATATCACACAGTGTATTAATTTAGTAATTCTCTGGGTCAGCACCTTCAATATCCTCATCTCCCTGGGTCCACTACTCCTCTTAAAATCTAAAATCGATACAATAACCTGCTTTCCCAGGCTCCAAAGTAATAAAGCACATGATCCTACAGACTGGTGCCCAGTTGATGGCATAACCATACAGAAAATTCTTTTTAAGTATCTTCAAAACACAGAATTTAAAATTCCTAACAGGGCTGAGCGTGGTGGCTGATGCCTGTAATCCCAGCACTTTGGGAGGCCAAAGCAGATAGATCACTTCAGGCCAGGAGTTTGAGACCAATCTGGCCAAACATGGAAAAACCCTGTCTTTGCTAAAAATACAAAAAATGTTGGTGGGTACAGTGGCAGTGTCTCATGCCTGTAATCCCAGCACTTTGGGAGGCCAAGATGGGCAGATTACTTGAGGTCAGGAGTTTGAGATCAGCCTGGCAAACATGTTGAAACCCTGTCTCTACTAAAAATACAAAAATATAGTGGGGGGCACCTGTAATCCCAGTTACTTGGGAGGCTGAGGCAAGAGAATCATTTGAACCTGGGAGGTGGAGGTTGCAATGAGCCAAGATCACGCCACTGCACTCCAGACTGGGTGACAAGAGTGAAACTCCACGAAAAGAAAGAGGGGAGAGGGGGAGGGGGAAGGGGAGGAGACTGGGTGGGGGGGGGGAGGGGTGAGGGGGAGGGGAGAGGGGGGAGGGGAAGGGAGGAGAGGAGAAGAGAGGGGAGGAGAGGGGAGGAGAGGGGAGGAGAGGGGAGGAGAGGGGAGGAGAGGAGAGGAAAATAAAAGAAATGAGAAAAGAAAAGAAAGGAAAAAATTCCCAATAGGATAGATTCTTGGCAGAGGGGTGGATGGGAGAGGGGAGATAAAGAAAAAAGTCCAGCCAGGAGCGGTGGCTCACGCCTGTAATCCAAGCACTCTGGAGGCCAAGGCAGGGGGATCACCTGAGGTTGGGAGTTCAAGACCAACCTGACCAACATGGTGAAACCTTGTCTTTAAAAAAAAAAAAAGAAAGAAAAGAAAAGAAAGAAAAGTCATCCCTTTTCCTATCCCTGTATTTCCTTGTCAGATTTACCTACAGGTAAACTACAGAATAACCTTATCAAGTAAAAAATATAAATAAAAATATTGGATTTTGATTAAAAGCATACCGTCTACAACTTCACCTGGAAAGAAATCACATATAGTAATCATTAAGTCTGGCCATCCTGACTTAATAGTGGGCATCTTTATTTTTTCCACCTTAAATCATTTTAAATCATCGCCAACCTGGGCTGTAATCTATGACAACAACAAACCTAAAGATGATATCACCCATCTAAGTGGGTTATAGTCTTAAATAATATGTAAGTAAAAAATAACTAATGTAGAAATAAATATTTGTGGCTTTTGAAGGTACATAATGAAACCATATTTATATACCATCACCACAACCTCAGTCCCTTGGTGCTTAGAAAGGGTCTGTGCAAAAGTTTAAGTTAGCTTCCTGATCTTTCCCAAACGCTCCTTTAGACCTCCATAGGGGATGATGGGAAGTCAGTACACATATTCATTCAAATAAATATTGAGCTTCTATTACCTGACAAGTACTAGATGTAACACTAGAAATAGTAAACAAAACAGCAAGCTCTTTGGGCTTAGAAAATGGTTGGCTCAAAATTCCCAATTCCCAGAGCAACAAAGAGACAAGAAGTAGGACAACACACCAGAAGCTGCCTGCCTGTCTGCCCCAGAGCCTCCAGGCATTCTTACTCACCAGCCAGACTACCTGATCCCAGAACAGCACACCTGCAGGAATCCTAACTAGGGATATTAACATGTTTCACTCTAGGAAGAGAGTTCTCCTCTCTTAAAATGAAAGCCTATTTTTAGAATTTCATATATTCAATTTGTAACATATTAGGGAATATAGAAAAAAAATAGTTAACAGCCAATAGCAGGAGCAGGTACTCAAATACTTCTTTGTTAACTCATGGTATAATCTTTATAAAATCTGTAATTTTGTTCACCAATTAAATTCAGTATAAATCCTTCAGTTTAGAAATTTAAACAAGAAATACAAATAATAAGTTTTCTACTTAAATGTCTTTATTTTCGAACTTTTAAAAGATAAGCTTGACCTCTTTCGCAATCTACACTGGTAAATTTCTGACAATGAAAATTTTGTTAACAGGCCTAGCATTGGTGTATCAAATGAACTTAGACACTAGGTTTTTGAATTGTTCAATATGTAGGAATAATGCTTACACTGGGATGACTTCGAGGAGATGCTCGTTCTCTCGGAAGTCTTTCATATTCATATCGTCCCTCAGACCACATTTCATCTCTTCTGTAAGCCACTAAAGAAAAAAAGAAACCAAAGAATTATGGTTTTTATGTTACTAGAAAAGTAATAGAAAAGGAAGGAATAAATGATTACTTTCCAACACAAATATTTTCTAGAGATCTTAAGGGGAAAAAATGTGACCAAAAGAAAAAATATTTCTTCCAAACAATTTTGAGATTTTCTTAAAAAAAAAAAAAAAATACAGAAAGCCCTATATTTCTTCTTAGGCAAGACTATTTCAAGCTTCAAACAGGGATAGGCACAGTGGCTCACGCCTGTAATCCCAGCACTTTGGGAGGCCAAGGCAGGTGGATCACTTGAGGTCAGGAGTTCGAAACCAGCCTGTCCAACATGGCAAAACCCCGTCTTTAAATAAAATAAAATTAAAATTAAAAATCTTCAAATAGATTGCTGCCACCAATTATGAGAGGAAAACCCATAATACTTAGGACCACAAATAATTCTTCATTCTCCTATAGTAGAAATAGAAACGACTCATTTTAATGAATAGTTTAAATGGCTGATCAGCAAAGGTATTCCTATTTCCTGGTGAATAGTTTGTATAAATAACATTAGTTTTTTGCTTTTCTACAGTCTTCATTTAATATATATGTTCTCTCTCTCTGTTAAATAATGTGTTTTTAACTGAAAAAGTGTTAAATGAACAATCCTGCACAAAAACACTCAACAGCTCCTGAAAGAAAACACTCCTGATTTTTTTTAATGCTATTAAATTTATTTCAATTGCAAAGGCATCCTCACAAAACGTGAAATTAAAATAAAAGTTCTGTCACATTTTTCAGGTTTGGGATTCAGAAAAGGGAGGTGGAAGGGTGTATTCTTTTCATAAATGCTTCCTACTTTGAGAGCTGACATATTCCGGGTAGAGAGCAAATAAAGTGTTATAGAATCCAAAGGTATATAGACACAAGAAGAGATGAAAATAGCGACTAAACAGAAAAAAGACAACGTAAACAAGGCAAACGAGAAGATGAGAATAGGATACACAAGGATACCATTTATATGAAATGGCAATACTATAGATCAGAATTTGGCAAATTTTTCTGCAAAGGATTGGACAAATATTTTCAGCCTTGTAGGTCACAGATCTCTCTTACAACTACTCAAATCTCCAGCCACAGGCAATATACACAAATGTATGAGTGTGTAAATTTTATTTACAAAGACAGGCTAGCTGCTTGGAGAGAGTAGACTGACAACTTCTGGAATGAATGACTAATGGTTAACAGGGAAGAACCAGGAGAAAGTGAAGTAATCATGGAGCAGGTTCTAAGGCAGTAACTGTGAACCATCCTCATGTACACACAGAAGCACCATGAGCAAGAAGTGAAAATGGTCCAGGTGGTAAGTTAGGGCCTTTCAGCACATAGAAAGTAGGCCACAGATACGTTAAGAAGAAATATACCTCAAAAAAGACTTAATGTCAAAAGATTTCTGATGGCTCCTTATAATGCAATACCAAGGGAGGAGGAAACAAATTGCTATTGCATTTTGGCAGTAAAGAACACCTACAGAATTCTAATGGTTCGGTTAGTTTAGGTTAAAGAAAAAAAAGGCTGGAAGAAGGGTACAATATTTTTTTGATGCTATTATAGCAAAGCGACCAATTTTCTCTGTAAAAACATACCTATAATATTTTCTAATACAAACAGACCCAATTAATGAATTAATATTAGCCAAAGATGCCTAGGAAATCTTACTTTAAATTAGAAATAAAACTTTTTCTCAAAACACACATTCAAGAGAAAAAACTTAGCTCTTAACATTATGCATGAATAAAACTGAATTATCTGTCTCCAGTTAGACCTCATTTAATAATGTGTAATTCCAAGCAACCAGTCTCTTAGGTGCAAGAATTAATGGAAGCTTCAAAGGCAAGTAAATTGTCAACATTACTCCTCCTCCGCCATGTTTACTGAATCCACTCAATGTTTCAGTGTAAAGAATTTGATTTTATCCTTTTTAAGATACAGCACAGAGCAATAGTAACAGCAATGAATTAAAGTCAAATCAAAGGGGAGAAAAAGTCAATAGGTATACCCAGAAGAAAAATGGGACATATGAGCAAACAGCTCACAAAAAAATACAAATGGCTCTTCAAATCTTTTGAAAAGATAGTCAACCTCCTTCAAAATCAAGATGAAAACCAAAACTATATTGGCATGCTAATTTTCATCCAAAAGCTCTGCAAACATCCAACTGCAGTGATGAAATTAAGGAAAGCAACATTTACATATGTTAATAAAGGAAGTATAATTGGTACAGATTGGGAAGAATTTGGCAATATTTTTTAAAATTTTAAGTACACATGCTTTGACCTGGTAATTCTACTTCTAGGTATACTTGTACACTTGCATAGCAAAGATTGAAAAGAACTTAAAATATTCAGTAAGAGGGCACAAAGTAAATTGCTGAACGTTCATACAAAGGAATATTTTGCAAACCATTTCAAAGAAAAGTAATCGCAGTAATAATATGAAAAGACTGCCAAGATACACTGCTAAGCAAAGCACAGTAAAAGGGCCAGGTATGAATACATATGCAGACTACTCCTGGGGGTAACATCAAGAGAATGTAACAGCAATTGCCTCTGGGGAGAATCAGGTAGTTGGGCAGAGGATGAATATTTTACTGCATAATGTATATATACTATTACGTATTACAAAAATGTGTAACTGTTTTTTAAGTTCCTGAAAAAAATCATTCAATAAGCATACATGTCAAATGATGGTAAAAATGATAAATATAAATTAACATACTAAAGGAGAATGTAAATAAAAATAAGATTTTGTAATAAATGAGAAAAATAAACAGTAAGAGTTCTAAAATACTATGTAGTTTAATACTGAAATACTGAAATTTACTGGTGTCTCACAAAAATGTAACAATAACTACTATACTAAATACTACTATACTATACTTACTTGAGTCCTTTTAGGAATCAAATTTAACGTTTTCAACAATTTCCTGTAAGGGGGGGAAATACAGAAATAAAGATTTGTGTCTGTATAAACCAACCAATATAGAAATAATTAAACCTTCATTAATTATGTAAACAGAACTGTCAAGCCAAAGTCCCTTCAAACACACTCTCGAAAATGGAAGAATTTTGCTTTTTTTGAGACAGAGTCTTGCTTTGTTGCCAAGCTGGAGTGCAGTGACACAATCTCAACTCGCTGCTACCTCTGACTCCCTGGTTCAAGCTATTCTCTTGCCTAAGCCTACCGAGTAGCTGGGATTACAGGCATGCACCACCACCAAGCCCAACTTATTTTTGTATTTTTAGTAGAGACAAGGTTTCACCCTGTTAACCAGAATGGAAAAATAGAAGATATTATTTTGGCCACCAGAGGCCACCCAAGTCTCATAAGAACAAAATAATAAGAGACTTCTACTCCTAGAATTCTAGTCTAGAATTTTGCCAGTTGAGAGGTGGGCAGATCATCGTATCTTTATGTCTGATAAGACTGTACTAGATGTTTAAGGTTGTTTGTAGTTGTTACTGTAAATGCTGGCTTTGAAATATCTCCATAGTTTAGTATGATGAAAATTACCATTTCCTACAGTAATTAGAAGACAGAATACATTAATATCACCTTAAATTCAAATAGAAACTTATAGCTTTCTTTTTCTTTTCTTTTTTATTTCCTTTAAACAGGGTCTCAGTTGCCCAGGCAGGAATGCAGTGGGTCAAACACACCTCACTGTAGCCTTGATCTCCTGGTCTCAAGCAATTCTCCCCACTCAGCTGCCTTAGTAGCTAGAACCACAGGCATACCATCACACCTAGCTAATTTTATTTTTTGCCAAGTTGTAGTCTTAGCATGTTGTCCCCAGGCTAGAACCCTGTAATTTTCAAAGGATTTAAAAATAGCTTATAAGTACAGAAAGCTTCCTGATTAGTGGCATATGTTGTTTATGACATTATCCAGGCTTAGGAAACTGACCAATCAGTTACATTTACACAAAGCTGTTCAGACTCCCAGTGAGTGATCATGCTACCTGCCACACCATCACTAAGTCTATTCATATCAGTGGAATCTCAATGGTACTCCAGAAAAGTTATCTAAACCAAAAGGATATGCCAAATGAAGAATACAACAGAAAAAAACAGAAGGACCCTCTACATCACAATTAGGCAGAAAATCGAATTAAAACTCAGTTTGGAGAACACAAGCTTCATTTAGAAGTGTGCTAATAACTGGTACCAGATTATAAAAATCTCACTCTCTTATGCCACATTCAATGAAGACAGTATGTTTAATATACCAGCATGGGATATCGAATTCCAGGAAGAAAATCAGCCTTTCTTAGAGCACTCCATTAGCCTGCCAAACCACAGTTATGTTAACCAACTAAGGGCTGAGAGGATATGGAGGACTTGCACTCTAAGCTAAAGTGTCACAGAAATTGAGAAAATAGGCCGGGCGCAGTGGCTCATGCCTGTCATCCTAGCACTTTGGGAGGCCGAGGTGGGTGGATCACCTGAGGTCAGGAGTTCAAGACCAGCCTGGCCATCATGGTGAAACCCCATCTTTAAAAAAAAAAAAAAAAAAAAAAAAAGGCCGGGCGCGGTGGCTCAAGCCTGTAATCCCAGCACTTTGGGAGGCTGAGGCGGGTGGATCACGAGGTCAAGAGATCAAGACCATCCTGGTCAACATAGTGAAACCCCGTCTCTACTAAAAATACAAAAAATTAGCTGGACATGGTGGCGTGTGCCTGTAATCCCAGCTACTCAGGAGGCTGAGGCAGGAGAATTGCCTGAACCCACGAGGCAGAGGTTGCGGTGAGCCGAGATCGCGCCATTGCACTCCAGCCTGGGTAACAAGAGCGAAACTCTGTCTCAAAAAAATAAAAAAAAGAAAGAAAGAAAGAAATTGAGAAAATAAAGTCACAGGCAATATCCTTCTGTCAAACCATTAACACTCTGAACCAAAGTCAAGGAAATAGATCTGTTTTTTCATTTTATCCAAACTGGTTATAGCAGCAACTTAGGCTACAGTAACTCTGCATTCCAATCTAGTCCGCTTCCATTATTAAATACATTCAGGATAGCTTCCCCTCCTCCCCAAACTCATTCCTTCACTTTTTATATTCATTCAACAACTATTGATAGCCAACTATGGTTACTGAAAAAGTCACATTTGATCTCAAACTTTACATCAACATAGGTCTTTGCATTGGTAATTCCCTGCACAAAATGTTCTCCAAATATCTGTGGAATTAACTTTCTCACCCTTTAATGTTACCTTCTTAACATCACTCAACTACCAGATCCCCCCAATCGTGCTATTTTTAATTAGCACTAATTAGCAATTATTTACTAATTAATAATTAATACTAATCTATATTAAAGTACACTATATAGTATCTTAAATAATTAATGCTAATAATAAAAAGCAGGGATGTCTCTTTGCTCATTGATGAATATTAAGCTCCTATAACAATTTGCACCCTGTGCTCAGTATTCAGAGTGAATAGTCCAATTTTTCTACTAGAAAATATTTGAAAATTCCAGACAACTAAACATAAATTTTAGAAGATAGTTAAGGTCTTTGAAAAAAAATTAACTGATGCCAACTAAAATGACTAAAACAGAGCAAGGTATTAAATTCAGCATTGTTCAATGCTTAGGGAGAGATAAATGCAGGCAGTGGTAATCAAGAAAGCCTTTTAAAAAGCTGTTCTTCCCCAGGTTATCTGCAGGACTAACTTTCTCACCCTTTCAATGTCACCTTCTTTTTTTTTTTTTTTTTTTTTTTTTTTTTTTTTTTTTTTTTTTTTTTTTTTTTTTTGAGATGGAGTTTTGCTCTTGTTACCCAGGCTGGAGTGCAATGGCGTGATCTCGGCTCACTGCAACCTCTGCCTCCTGGGTTCAAGCAATTCTCCTGCCTCAGCCTCCTGAGTAGCTGGGATTACAGGCACGTGCCACCATGCCCAGCTCATTTTTTGTATTTTTAGTAGAGACGGGGTTTCACATGTTGACCAGGATGGTCTCGATCTCTCGACCTCATGATCCACCCGCCTCGGCCTCCCAAAGTGCTGGGATTACAGGCTTGAGCCACCGCGCCCGGCCTCAATGTCACCTTCTTAATGTCAAATTTATTTTTTTTTAATGCTTTCCCCCCCCCCCCCCCCCAAGAAACAGGGTTTCATCATCTTGACCAGGCTGGTCTCAAACTCCTGACCTCGTGATCCACCGGCCTCGACCTCTCAAAGTACTGGGATTACAAGCGTGACCCACCGCACCTGGTTCTCAATGTCAAATTTAAATAGAATCTTCAAATAGATGGTTTAAATGTAGATGAACCATAATGAATAGCAGAATCCAAGAAAAGGCAAAGGTTTAGAGAAGACAAAAAGTGCCTGAGAAAGAAGACGGAACTGACCAGAGCAAAAGATTCACATTTCAAGAGTGAGAAATAAATCTACACAGGTGTTCTACAAGCATTCATTTCCTCCCTTAAGTGCAAGAATTTGTGCAATAAACTTTCAAAACATGTAAACCCCTTACTGACACAATCCTAATGAAGGAGAAATTATCTCTCACATTCCAGATAAAAATATGCAAGCTCTGAAAAGCTCAAATCCCAGAACCAAATGTAAGTCAGACTCCGGCTTACATGACTTAAAACCCAGCCCTTTCCACCATTATCATATAGCTTCATAACAGACACATGCAACGGTACAAAGAACAGATTCAAGGGCAAGAAGTGGTACAAAAGCAAATATCAGACAAGCTGCTCACCAAAGGCTCTTAAGTCTGGGAATAAGGTGAGGGGCAAAAATGTCATTCCAAAGATTAATCTGGCAATATACAAGGTGGATTAGAGAAAGAGGCTGGAGGCAAGAAAACCATTGATTGCTTCCATCATGACCCATATAACTTAGCCCTTTTAAAGTACGGCCATGCCTGGGCACAGTGGCTCACTATAATCCCAGCACTTTGAGAAGCAGGTGGATCATGTGAGGTCAGGAGTTCAAGACCAGCCTGGCCTACATGGTGAAACCCCATCTCTACTAAAAATACAAAAATTAGCTAGGCATGGTGGATGGTGCCTGTAATCCCAGCTACTCAGGGGGCTGAGGCAGGAGAATTGCTTGAACCCAGGAAGCAGAGGGTTAAAGTCTTAACCAGTCAGCCTCCTTCCAATGAGCTGAGATTGCACCACTGCACTCCAGCCGGTGCTACAGAGGAAAACTCCATCTCAAAATAAAGTACTGCATTCTTGGCTCGTGCCTGTAATCCCAGCTCTTTGGAAGGCTGAGCCAAGAGGATCATTTGAGGTTGGGAGTTCAAGAGCAGTATGGCCAACACAGTGAAACCCCGTCTCCACTAAAAAAATACACCAAAATTAACCAGGCATGATGGCATATGCCTGTAATCCCAGCTATTTAGGAAGCTGAGGCGGGAGAATCCGTTGAACCTGGGAGACGGAAGTTGCAGTGAGCCATGGTTGTGCCACTGCACTCCAGCCTGGGTGAGAGCAAGACGTCTCAAAAAATAGAAATAAAAAATATAGGCTGGTCGCAGTGGCCCATGTCTGTAATCCTAGCACTTTGGGAGGCCAAGGTGGGTGGATTACCTGAGGTCAGGAGTTCAAGACCAGCCTGGCCATCATGGTAAAACCCCATCTTAAGTTAAAAAAATAAAATAAAATAAAATAAAATAAAATAAAATATATATATATATATATAATACATCCTTTACTAGTGTCACAAGTCACTTAACTTCCCAATGCTTTAAGGATACTTCTTTTACAAGCCCAACTGTACTGCACCAAACTTAGGAGACCCCTAATTGTCCATAATTGATCAATTAACTGAAATTACACCAGTAAACAAAAATGCCAGATGTCTGCCTACATATAATATTTATAAATCTGAATCTTATTTCACATATGGATGGAAGTTAAAGTCTTACCCGGTCAACCTCTTTCCAGTGTTTCACCCTCCATTTTACCGTAAAAAAGGATACTCAATCAACTGTTAATGCATACTCAAAATGTGAAGTTTCCAGTACCAAGAATCCAAATGGCCGGGCACGGTGGCTCAAGCCTGTAATCCCAGCACTTTGGGAGGCCGAGGCGGGTGGATCACGAGGTCGAGAGATCGAGACCATCCTGGTCAACATGGTGAAACCCCGTCTCTACTAAAAATACAAAAAATCAACTGGGCATGGTGGCTCGTGCCTGTAATCCCAGCTACTCAGGAGGCTGAGGCAGGAGAATTGCCTGAACCCAGGAGGCGGAGGTTGCGGTGAGCCGAGATCGCGCCATTGCACTCCAGCCTGGGTAACGAGCGAAACTCTGTCTCAAAAAAAAAAAAGAATCCAAATGGCTTATTAACCATAATAAATCCAAACTTCTATCTTCCATATGCCTCCTTCTGTCATCTTATCTAACCTTGCATTGTCTCCAAAAGCATACAATTATGCCAGTCTCCTTATGGTACCACAGAGTAACATACACTACTATGGAAATGTTTACTTTCCAAACTGGATACCTTTTTCCATTCTCTCATTTAAATCCGATAGCCCATCAAAGCCCAACTCAAAAGCTGTTATTCTCCACAAAGTCCATTATATAAACCATACAAGACTTAAAACAGATTCCAAACTAGTGACTGATAAGCCACATGTGACTTGTGTTTGACCCATTTTTTTTTCAGTAAAATTCCTTTCGACTGACAATATTTATAAACTTGGAGATGATGCTTTTTTAAAAATGGTATTTCCAACTTTTTTTGAAAAAATTAGATGTTCTGGCAAAACTGGGATCATCTTCTCATATAGCCACAATCACCTGTAGCTGAGTGGCAGGTGACCCCTTCTACGGGGTAATTACTCATTAACTGCCTGATCTGAGACCACACCTTCAGCACCTGAAATCACTCAAGAAACACGTCTTACAAGCCAAGAACTGTATTAGATACTGGAGTTACAAAGATAAACAAGACAAACAGTCCCTCACACACAGCCTCGCTTAGGGACGGCAAAGAAACAAGCCATTAGGATACATGTGATAAACGCCGTGAGGGACGTGCAGGGCAGCTATGAGTATGTGGCAAGGATACCTAACTCTATGGAAGTTAGGGAATACCCCTCAAGTAAAGTGACACCTAAATTCGGATCTTTAGCAGAAGTTATCCAGAAAAAGGTAGGAGGGAACAGGGAGTTCAAATGTCCCAAAGAGAGAAAAGAGACTTTGTGAAGATACTGAGGGAAGAAAGTCCTCTGAGGAACTGAAATCAGTTCAACACGGCTAGAGCCATGCCCAACTTTAAATGCAGGGTCAGAGAAAGGGTACAACTGAAATGGCTGGCAGGAAAAGTACGTGTTATTAATAGTTAAGGTTAGGAGTTGAAAGAGAATTTCGCCAAAACAGTTGAAAATGTAAAATAGTTAAGGCAGGAAATAGAGGTTTCAGAAGGAACAGATGGCGGGAGTTGAGGCGTTAAATGGGTAAGAAACGAAAAAGCAGTGATGGCCTAAATCGAGAGGAAACACAAAGCAGATGGGAGGAGACGACAGCACAGAAGACCAAAGGAGCTTACATGTTGGGCGGTAACCAAAGATAACAGGAACGTGAAGCATGGTAAGTCTGGCTGGCCACTAGTTTGCTGAGAGAATTCGTCCAGCGGTCCCCTATCGGCCACGGAGGCATTCTGGCCTAACAAAATTCAGCTGCGCCCAGGATGGATTGCACTTCCGTCTCTCCAGAAGATCTCGACTTCACTCTGGATTGACTGGAGGGCTCCAGGAGAGGCTACTAGTACGCAGTCTCCCAGGGAGTGGTTAGAGGCCTGGTCTGTGTGTGCTGTTGGGTAGAAGTATAAACTACCTTGCATTATGTTCTGATTTTTCTGTAGGAATGGTGGGCATGTTACGGCCTCTTAAAGAAAAAGCAATGAGTGCCCATTACAGACTTACAGGAAGAGAAAAGGTGCCAAGAAGTTCCAACATTTGTCCATACCCATACTAAAGACGAGTCATTCTGTGAATCCAACTCTCCCCAAGTTGGCCCGGTCTCCCCAACTAGACCGAGAGCTCCACCAGAAAACGAAACAAAACAAAATAAAGGTCTGTTTTACAATTTATTTCGTAGTTCCCAAAGTGCCTAATAGCGAGCTGGGTACCGCGAACACCATCAGTAAAATTACCGACTTCCTGAATGGTCTCGGGTCACTAGAGTTACCTAGCTCAGCCTTCTTTTTGCATATGAAGGCGCTACAGAGAGGCGAACTTAACCTTAGACTCAACTTGCACTTTCCTTTATTCCAAACTCCACTGCGTCTCTCCAACCTCAACCGCATGGGCAGAATTGTTGCACAATTCAAAGTCAGTAAGAGAACCCAGGGCCCGACACAGAAAACACCCGCCCGCTCCCCCTCCCCCCGCGTGTAGCAGCCCGCACGCGCTTCCCACCCATGGCTGGAAAAGGTAAAAGGCGCTCACCGACTCGGGCCCTCCGAGAGTCCCCGTAAACGTAGTCGCCCGCCCGCCGCCGCAATCCCAGGGTAGGCACTTCCGGCGCTCGCAATGACGTCACCGAAACGCTGGGCTCTCGGCCCGCCTTCGAGGCCGGGATCTCTAACCAGCGGGAAGAGGCCCAGCGGCTGCTATCGTCTCGTTTCCGCGCTTGACCCCTCCCAGGACTCGTGATGCCAAGGCCGCTGCGAGTGGCTACGAAGTAGGTTGAGCCCCAGCTGAGCCGAGGGCTCGCACTCTTGTGGTATCCCAGGCCCGCCCCACCTAAAGGTAAACGCCTCCTCAGCTTCGGTTTTCTCCCCTGCGGGGCCCCTTCCCCAGACTCGGCTACCAAAACGCTCTGCTGTCTCCCGCCACCCTTTTTATTTGCAGGACCTTAACTTCTGCCTGCCTTCACAGCTCTCAGGAAAACGTCCGACGCGTAGTTTCAAATGAGAAACTTTTAAAAAGCGACCTATGTTGAGTTTTGAAGTTCCGTAAATAATTCCCCCCAAAACTCCAAACATCAAGCAGTTTTCTTAATTCCATCGCGAATTGGCATGCCTGAGTCAATATTTTTCCATTTATGATGGTTCGTCTCCCCATCTCAAATACACACCACATGCTCTTTTTAAATCAGAAGTTTGAATTTGATTGAGTCTGATATTTTCACGGTAATTTGCTGACCTTGTAAAATTAATTACTGATGGATTAATTTGTAAACTGTATACATATACCCATGTGTATATATACATACACACATACATACAGGTTTGTCTCTCCTCCAGGCACCAAACCTATTTATATAAATTAAAAGTATCATCTCGTAATTTGGCATTAATAGGCAAAATTAGTGTTTCGAAAGAAGTTTACATTGTCAATACGTAAAGCTTAAATTTCCTCCTTAACATCATACTAAATGGGTGAAAGAAAATTTTCCTGCTAACACCACTCCAGAGAAAAAATATTAAAACAAACAAAAAAGGTACCTAACCATAGTACAGGCATGCACAGCATAACTCTTTGGTTAATGACAAACCACATATACCATGGTGGTCTCCTAAGAGTATAATATGTTGTACCATATTTTTACTGTACCTTTTCTGTGTTTAGCTACACAAATATTTACCATTGTGTTTCAATTGCCTACATTATTCAGTACATTAACATGCTATACAGGTTGTAGCCTAGGAGCAATAGGCTAGACCATACAGGTTTGTCTAAGTACAATCTATGATATCGTGCAGCACACTCAGAACATATCTCCTTCGTTCAGTGTAGCATGACTGTATTAGCAGAAATCAGTGGCTAAGGTTCTTTTGAGGCCCTAGGCGCCTTCTGACCTGGGTGTGCAAGGTGAAGGTATTGAACATATACAATACATATTCATTCGATCATTTTTTTTTTCTCATAGCCTGAGGGGAGGTTAGGACTGGCTTCAGGGTTTTTCCATCATCTATTTAAAACCCCTCTTGTCCAGCACTGAAAGTGTTAGTGTAAAGAATACTTGAAAGAAGAACCAAAAAAGATTTTTTTTTTAAAGTGGTGACTGCTGAAAACCGTAATTCAGCCTCCTGGAGTTAATTGTTCCTAACTTCCTAAAATGTAAGGAAGGTAGGCTGGGTGCAGTGGCTCACCCCTGTAATCCCAGCATCTTGGGAGGCTGAGGCGGGTGAATCATGAGGTCAAGAGATCAAGACCATCCTGGCCAACATGGTGAAACCCCATGTCTACTAAAAATACAAGAAATTAGCCGGGCATGTTGGCAAATGCCTGTAATCCCAGCTGCTCAGAAGGCTGAGGCAGGAGAATCGCTTGAACCTGGGAGGCGGAGGCTGCAGTGAGCCAAGAATGTGCCATTGCACTCCAGTCTGGGCAACAAGAGCAAAACTCGATCTCCAAAAAAAAAAAACTTAGCAACATCTTCAAGAACAAAGGCAAAAGAAAAAAAAAAAGGAAGATATACAAATCTGGCATAATTAAATCAGTAATTATTAATACAGTATTGGGTTGTTTTTTTGTTTTTTGGTTTTTTTCAAAATACCCAGACTGGTCTGATGTATTGGTTTAATTTGGAACTAAGAATGCCTGGTTTAGGCCAGGTGTGGTGGCTTACACCTGTAACCCCAGCACTTTGGGGAGCTGAGGTGGGTGGATTACTTGAGGTCAGGTGTTCAAGACCAGCCTGACCAACATGATGAAACCTCATCTCTACTAAACATACAAAATTAGCTGGGCATGGTGGTGCATGCCTGTAATCCCAGCTACTTGGAAGGCTGAGGCAAGAGATTCGCTTGAATCCAGAAAGCAGAGGTTGCAGTAAGCTGAGATGGCTCCATTGCATTCCAGCCTGGGCAACAAGAGCAAAACTGTCTAAAAAAACAAAACAAAACAAACAAAAAAAAAAAATCTTGGTTTAGCTTGATTGCTGATAGGTTTATTTTCACTTTCAGAAATGAGTGGTGGATTGGCTCCAAGTAAGAGCACAGTGTATGTATCCAACTTGCCTTTTTCCCTGACAAACAATGACTTGTACCGGGTAAGTAAATCTTATCTAGTGACTGCTATTTGAGATACAGATAACCTTAAGCTAATAGTTCTCCAAGGACAAATTCTTTTTTTCTTTTCTTTTTATTTTTCTTTTTTTTTTTTTTAATTCTGTCATGCAGGCTGGGGCACAGTGACACTATCAAGGCTCACTGCAGCCTCCCCACCCCTCAGGTGATCCTCCCACCTTATCCCCCTGAGCAGCTGTGACTATAGGCCTGTGCCACCATGTCTCTACAAGCTGCCTGGGAAAGTGAGGTTGGAAGACTGCTTGAGCCTAGGAGGTCAAGGCTACAGTGAGCCAAGATCACACCACTGCACTCCAGCCTCGGTGACAGAATGAGACCGTGTCTCAAAAAAAAGAAAAGAAAAAAAAGAGGCTGGATTTATTGAACATTTATTATGTGCTGAGCATTCTTGTAGGTAGTAGAGACATATCAGTGAACAAGAAGACAAAAAGCCCTCTTGGTACCCTTAGTATAGCATGAGAGAAACAATGCAAAATACTAAAAAGTCAAATTATATGTTAAATACTAATGAGATGCTAAGATTTTAGGTGCTAAGGAGAAAAAATAAAGCTGGAAGGTGGGCTATTAAATGTTAAGTTGAGAATGGAGGTGAAATTTTACATAGGGTTGTGGGAAATGCCATTATTGAGAAAGGTGACTTTTTAATAAGACCTGAAACAAGTAAGAGGTAGCTGTGCAGATTCTAGAGGACAAGCATTTCAGGAGAAGAGGGGTAATCTTAGGTAAGCCCACTCTGAGTGCCTTATAGGACCTATTTACATCATGATAAGGACTCTGGCTTTCACTCTGAGTGAAACGAGAAGCCATTACTATTATACAGAAAACGGTACTGGCCTTCAGAACCCAGTGTTGCTAGCACTGCAATCCAGTTATATGACATTCCAGGATTATACAGCTTAATCTTAGAAAAAAATCCGTTATTATCGGTTGCATATACTAACACATTCTAAAAGATTTCTTATATAATTGGAACTCTTAGTATATGGGTAATGAGCTGGAACTGTATAAATAAATGAGATTGCATAGGATGAAGTAAAAGTAACACGAGAGCCAACTATAAAGTTGTACTAACATGTTAATGGTGGGCAGAGGAAGAAGACTGATAGAAATGGATTTTTCATTATAAAAGCTTTTTTATAAGGTTTGTTTTTTGTTTTTGTTTTAAATAAAGCAGTCTAAGGATCTGTCTTCTCAAACAGGGATTGCTTCATAGGAATAACAAAGTAGACGTGAGAGTAGAATTGGACTATTGCTATTCCATAACATTGATATTTGAAGCACAGGTGTAGCTGGCACTATGGTGGAGTTGACAGTTGCCATGAGCATCCCTCAGGAACACAGCAGCTATCCAGTGTGTATGCCTTGGATCTACCATATGCACAAAGTGGGATTTTTCTCTGTATTCACTCCATTGTCAAGTCTAGAAACTGAGGCAGATATATGTAACTCCAATAAAAATAAGAATATTATTCTAGTCACCAAAAAAAATTTTTTCCTAGGGCCGGCCTTATATATACACTGAAGGCTGAAATTTTTCATAAACTGTAACAAAGAATTTGGTCAATGTCTGCAACCTGAAAATTTGATGTTTTATGATTTTAAATTAAATTGTAAATATGTGGTCTTGTTTCAGATATTTTCCAAGTATGGCAAAGTTGTAAAGTGAGTATTCACATTAAATTTTGTACCTTCATTTAAAAGTTTATCTGAATTTGCTTGTCTATTATTTTTTTAATGACAGTAGATTTTTAAAAATAAAACATACTGATATAACAAAGAAAATAATACTATTAACGTTTTTATGACAATTTTAGTTAGTTTTCCATCTATATAAATATGTAGATGGAAAGTTTTTCTTAAAGACTGTATTCCATACATGCAATTTTATTTTCTTTTTTTAATTTGATATATCATAAATGTCTTTCCATATACTGTAAAGATACATTCTCATATCTAATGGTAAACAAATATTTTGATTACTAGGAAATGTGTGATTAAGTATACTATAAGTAGATTAACATTTTTCAAATAAATCGTGTGAAAACAAATATTTCAGCGCATCTGACCTGCAGAATGCTATGAGACAGATAACTAGAAAACATTATCTGCCTTCAGAGAAAGCTTAGAGATCATTGGAAAGACTAGAAACATACAAAAACGGTAATGGACAATAATAGCAATTGGAGCTGAGGGTTAAGGAAGGATAAAAAGAACTTGAGGGTCTCATATTTAACTGTTTTAAATCAAGCAACTACGTTATGGGGCAAAAAAGTAAAAGCAGGATACTGTCATCTTAACTATCTTTTAACCAATATACATTCTGAGATAAAATCCCAAGAAATTCGAGCATATTTATCTTGAGTAGCTTCTTCTAGTATTCCATAAATGGGTGTTAAACAGTTGAAGCTGATTTGCATCTTGAAATTATTAACTCATTTTACAGTTACTTTGCTATTAAAAAATCATTATCAGGCCGGGCGCCGTGGCTCAAGCCTGTAATCCCAGCACTTTGGGAGGCCGAGGTGGGTGGATCACGAGGTCAAGAGATCTAGACCATCCTGGTCAACATGGTGAAACCCCGCCTCTACTAAAAATACAAAACATTAGCAGGGCATGGTGGCGCGTGCCTGTAATCCCAGCTACTCAGGAGGCTGAGGCAGGAGAATTGCTTGAACCCAGGAGGCGGAGGTTGCGGTGAGCCGAGATCGCGCCATTGCACTCCAGCCTGGGTAACAAGAGTGGAACTCTGTCTCAAAAAAAAAAAAAAAAAATCATTATCAGCCGGGCGCAGTGGCTCATGCCTGTAATCCCAGCACTTCGGGAGGCTGAGGCAGGCAGATCACAATGTCAGGAGTTTGAGACCAGCCCGACCAACATGTTGAAACCCCTCCCTACTAAAAATACAAAAATTAGCTGGGCGTGGTAGCATACGCCTATAATCCCATCTACTCAGGAAATTAAGGCAGGAGAATCACTTGAACCCGTGATGTGGAGATTGCAGTGAGCTGAGATCCCACCATTGCACTCCAGCATGGGTGACAGAGCAAGACTCTGTCTCAAAAAAAGAAAAAATCATTATCAAAATGCTTCTGCATTAATTTTTGGATGTTCAGATTTTGAAAAGTCACCATCATCATCAGTCCAAACACTGGTAATGATGATGGTATGTGATACTTAAATGAGTATATATATGCTAGGCATTGTTCTCATGTCTTTATGTATTTTATGTATGTTATTTAATTCTCATAACTGCCTTTTAAGGTAGGTACTATTATCATCTCAATATTATAACTGATTAAACTGAAGCACACAGTAACCTAAGGTCATTTTGCTAGCTAGTGGTGGAGAAAATGTTTGAATCCGACAGTCAGATTTCAGAGCCCATTCCCTTTTACCTTTTATCTTTTCTTTTCTTTTTTTTTTTTTTTTTTTGCCTCTTTGTCAGAATCTCTGAATGGATATCCATATAAATATATAGTCCTAAACCATGAAAGGGCTATGGAGTTAAAAATACAGAATTATAAGCACCTTGAAACAGGGAAGACTTGATCTAGTCTGGAGAGGCAGAAAAGGAACTAGGTCAGTATCCTTTGAGTGGAAGCCTAAAGATGAGTAAGAGTTAAGTAGGCAAAAATAAGGGAGGAATATTTCAGGTAGAGGGAATACCTTATGCAAAGGCCCTGTGGCAAGAGAAAATAAAGTGAGATCAAGAAATAGAAAGAGGCCGGGTGCGGTGGCTCCCGCCTGTAATCAGCACTTTGGGAGGCTGAGGCGGGTGGATCCTGGTCAACATGGTGAAACCCCGTCTCTACTAAAAATACAAAAAATTAGCTGGGCGTTGCAAAAATAATAAAAAGTAATCCCAGCTACTCAGGAGGCTGAGGCAGGAGAATTGCCTGAACCCAGGAGGCGGAGGTTTCGGTGAACCGAGATCACGCCATTGCACTCCAGCCTGGGTAACAAGAGTGAAACTCCTTCTCAAAAAAAAAAAAAGAAATAGAAAGAAGGCCAATGTGACTGGAGATGAGTAAGGGGAGAAAGCACAAGATGGGTCCAGAGATGGAAGCAGGTTCCTCATCTTGCTTCTTGGCCAGGTTACAAAGGTTATTTGGTTTTCATTCTAAGAAATCTGGAATCATTTAAGAATTTTAAGTGAGGGATGACATAATTTAAATTTTTTAAAGTTTATTCTGGCTTAATGTAGAAATTCGATTGGAGGGGAGCAAAAGCAAATGCAGCTGGACATGATGGTTCACGCCTGTGATCGCAGCACTTTGGGAGGCTGATACGGGAGTATCACTTGAAAGGTCAGGAGTTCAGGACCAGCCTGGCCAATATGGCAAAACTCCATCTCTACAAAAAACAAAAAAATTAGCCGGCCTTGGTGGCACACACCTGTAATCCCAGCTACTTGGGAAGCTAGGCACGAGAATCAGTTGAACCAGGGAGGCAGGGAGGCAGTGAGCCAAGATCATGCCACTGCACTCCAGCCTGGGCGGCAGAACTTGCTGGAGAAAAAAAAAGAAAATGCAGTGAGACCAGTCTGAAATCTAAAACCGTAGCCCAGGGGAGAAATCTGTACTAAAATAGTACAGGTGGAGATACAGAGACTGTTCAGATTTGAGAAGTGGTCAGATTTCAGCCATCATTGAGGTAAAATGGGTAATGATTAGTGATATGTATAGGAAGCAAAGTGGGTAATATTTAGTGATATGCTTACTTTGTGTATAAGGACTGTGTGAGCAAGCAGGAGGTGTTATGGATAACATTCAGGTTTCCCAAAATAGGGTATGCTTCATATTATGTGCTTAAATAAGTACATCTTATACCTTGTATTAGGAAATGGTGCTACTGTCTACCTCTTTTCCCTTGCCAGAAACATGAGAGTCACAGTAGATTTGTCCTTTTAAATCACTGCTGTAATTTTTTTTTTCTGTTACCACAGAAAGTATCTCTATCAAACTATTTATTATATGATATTGGTTTGTAGGTCTGTCTCCACCACTAAACAGTAAGTTCTTTCCTGAGGGTAAAAACTACTGTTAGTGCTTAGCACATGAGTTTGAGGCTAGCAGAGTGACTGAATGACCAAATGAATGAACATATACAGTGCATTCTTTTGGAAACTGCTTTTCCCTTTTTTTTTTTTTTTTTTTTTTTGAGACGGAGTTTCGCTCTTGTTACCCAGGCTGGAGTGCAATGGCGCAATCTCCGCTCACCGCAACCTCCGCCTCCTGGGTTCAGGCAATTCTCCTGTCTCAGCCTCCCGAGTAGCTGGGATTACAGGCACGCACCACCATGCCCAGCTAATTTTTTGTATTTTTAGTAGAGACGGGGTTTCACCATGTTGACCAGGATGGTCTTGATCTCTTGACCTCGTGATCCACTTGCCTCGGCCTCCCAAAGTGCTGGGATTACAGGCTTGAGCCACCGCGCCCGGCCGCTTTTCCCATTTTTTAAAAATCTATCCCATTGAATATAAAGGTGTATCTATCAATCAGCATCTTAAGCCAAACACATGTGGGTTACAGAGACAGCCTTAAAGGAGTTTACATTTAAATAGATGAAATGAGGCATTGATTATGAATAACACAATTCAGCAGAGACTAGCATAAAAGAGGAGAAATTATATCTAATTGAAGCTATTAGGAACTGACATACTGACCTGAACCCCTAAAGAATGAGGAAAATTTTAATGGGCAGTGATTCAGAAGTGAAAAAAGATAGAAGTTGTGTGAACAAAGGCACAAATTTGGGGAAATACAGGCCATGCTACCGGAGCATTGAGTGGTTTCTTTTGGGTAGACCTCGTAGTTTGTGTGGGAAGGAGCAGTGAAAGATGAAGGAGATGGGAGCCAAATCATCAAGGATGCTGACTGTGGGACAAAGAATAGGTAACTTACAAAACCAAAAATTTTTGAAAAAAGGAATCGTGTGATTTTATTTATTCCTTAAGTAGAAGACTACTTAACTATATGATAAAATTATAAGAGAAAAAATTAGCATAAAGGAACCAATAAGAATAGACTGTTGAAACAGTAATGCCCCTGTGGACAAGAAAAAAGCAGTGGAAATGGAAAAGAGGCAACAGATGAGAGATCATTAATTGAGGATGATATAGAAAGCTAACACTTCTTTTGGAATACTACTTTTAAAAAAAATAATGTTTCACAAACATTATGAAGAATTCCAAAATGTAAAGCAACTACGGTATTCAGTATTTCTATCAAAATTGGTTCAAACCTCTCCTGCATATTCTCGTAACTGTGGTGCTTTGATGATAACCAATCTAAATTTGAACCTTCTTTCCTTGGGTGCTTGCCTCTCCTTACCTTCTAAGCACATTGACTATACAGGTATACTGTTTGAGAAACTAAACCATTTCAGTTGGCCTAAATTATTTCAACTTGTTTCTTTCTTTAAATGACATTAAACATCCCTTTTCTTAATATAGTAGCATCTTTATCAGTTTCATTCCAAAGACTAATATGTACCTTAACCCAAACCTAAATAAAATAATTTTAATATGGGAAACGTTATTCTGAATAAAATTTCTATTTATTTATTCACTTGTGTCCTATTATCGTTTTCCTGTAATTCAAACATTAGAAAATGTTAAATAAATGACATAGGGTGTGCAAGGGCCTCCAGGAGTAGGGACGTGTACGGGTCAGGAGAAAGAGCAGGCTCCGTGCTCTAATAACTCTCCTTATTACTCAGGTACACCCTGGGGTGTGGTGTGGCTAAAAACCATAGTACAGGAGATTCTTTTTTCCTAAAAATCTGGGTCTCATGTCACCTAGGCTGGTCTCATCTCCTGTGCTCAAGCATCCTCCTGCCTCTGTCTCCCAAGCAGCTGGAATTACAGGTGTTCACCACCACACTGAGCACTGGAGATGTTTTTTTTTTTCTTTTTTTCCCAAAGATTCTTTAAAAGAATATTAATACACTATTGAGACCAGGCACGGTCGTTCACACCTATAATCCCAGCACTTTGGGAGGCCAAGGCAGGCAGATCACGAGGTCAAGAGATCAAGACCATTCTGACCAAGATGGTGAAACCCTGTCTCTAGTAAAAATACAAAAATTAGCTGGGCTTGGTGATGCACGTCTGTAGTCCCAGCTACTCAGGAGGCTGAGGCAGGAGAATCACTTGAACCCAGGAGGTGGAGGTGGCAGTGAGGTAAGATCATGCCACTTCACACCACCTTGGTAACAGAGCAAGGCCCCATCTCAAAAAAAAAAAAAAAATACAGTTTGATTCTAACTTAAAAAATTAGTAAATCATTTTACTTTTTCTGTAAAAAAGTATACCTTTATTTTGTTCTGTTTTGCAAGGTGAGGGAGTTAGTATGGAAGAGGGATTATGGTTACTCTTCAAGATTCCATTATCTCTATATAATCTCTTTACTTCTCTGGTTAACTCCTAATCATAGCTATGCTCACTTCTGTTAAATCAGTATCACCCTTTCTCATTTCCATTCTTGGTATCCCATGATCTTGAAGAGATAGCTGATTTTTCAAATATATGTATTAATTTTTCTTGTAAATTTTTAGCCCCTTTTTTAAAATGAATTTTTCAAATATTCATATGTTTTATTTATTGCTGCCTCATTTTTAACTCTTTGTTTATGCTTTAAGGGTTACCATAATGAAAGATAAAGATACCAGGAAGAGTAAAGGGGTTGCATTTATTTTGTTTTTGGATAAAGACTCTGCACAAAACTGTACCAGGGCAATAAACAACAAACAGGTAAGCTGTTCATCAAAGTTTTCAGCCCCAAAGCCTTTATGCTCATCCAGACCAAAAATATGGGGATGTAATGGATCATCAGGTCTAATAGGTATCAGTAGATTCTTAAGTTATCTAACTAATGGAAAGAAAAGCGGTCAAAACTGTACTGGGTTCTCAAAACATTGGTGGAATCTCAGGAATAAGAATACTACAGAATAGAATGTATTACACCAAAGTGGCAATTGCTAAAATAATCCAAAATAACCTGGAATTGAAGATTTGAGAAAATTGGATTAAATAATTAATTTTAGGTTTGAGTGAATACATTCTGCATTTACATTTTTCTCTGGTTTAGTTATTTGGTAGAGTGATAAAAGCAAGCATTGCTATTGACAATGGAAGAGCAGCTGAGTTCATCCGAAGGCGAAACTACTTTGATAAATCTAAGTGTTATGAATGTGGGGTAAGTAAACCTAAAACTTAATGGAACTTTGCATAGTTTACTTTAAGATACTTTTCACATCAGTCTTTTATTTTTGCTCACCAAAACTTCTTACTGGCTAAACCAGGTTATGAAAATTGCTTTATTTTTAAAGATTTATTATTATTTTTTTTTTTTTTGAGACGGAGTTTCACTCTTGTTACCCAGGCTGGAGTGCAATGGCACGATCTCGGCTCACCGCAACCTCCGCCTCCTGGGTTCAGGCAATTCTCCTGCCTCAGCCTCCTAAGTAGCTGGGATTACAGGCACACGCCACCATGCCCAGCTAATTTTTTTTGTATTTTTAGTAGAGACGGGGTTTCACCATGTTGACCAGGTTGGTCTCGATCTCTCGACCTTGTGATCCACCCGCCTCGGCCTCCCAAAGTGCTGGGATTACAGGCTTGAGCCACCGCGCCCGGCTAAAGATTTATTTTTTTGAGACAGGGTCTTCCAGTGTCACCCAGGCTGGAGTGCAGTGGTGCAATCAGAACTCACCGTAGGCTCCAGCTCCCGAGCCCAAGTGATCCTCCTACCACATTGTCAAGTAGCTGGTATGACAGGCATGTACTATCACGCCCTGCTACTTTTTAAAATTTTTTGTAGAGGCAGGTCCTTCCTATGTTCCCAGGCCAATCTCAAACTCCTGGGCTCGAGCAGTCCTCCCACCTCAGCCTCCCAAAGTGCTAGGTTACAGATGCTAGCCACTGTACCTGGCCTAGTTGTTTTACTTAGGTACTTTAAACTCATCTAAGTATAAATGCAGTTGAAATACAGTGTATAAAGATAACCTGAGTTCAGTAATACAAAGTGGTATTTCCTCTAGCTCCTAAATCTTTGAAAATCACTAGTTTTAAAAGTGTTAGACTTTTAAACATCTTCTACTTATGTATTGCCTTGAAAGATTTTAGTAACTCATAACTTCTTGTTAATAGGATATTGCCTGTTTCTGTAACAGTTTTTAAGTGTCACAGTTCAATACCAACATTATCATGTGACCTTATCCTCTATGGAATAGTGTGTTTTGAAGTTTTTAATTTTTATTGCTAGTATTTTATAACTGAACTATCCCCACATTTTCTTTTTTTTTTTTTTTGAGATGGGAGTTTCGCTCGTTACCCAGGCTGGAGTGCAATGGCGCAATCTCGGCTCACCGCAACTTCCGCCTCCTGGGTTCAGGCAATTCTCCTGCCTCAGCCTCCTGAGTAGCTGGGATTACAGGCACACACCACCATGCCCAGCTAATTTTTTGTATTTTTTTTTAGTAGAGACGGGGTTTCACCGTGTTGACCAGGATGGTCTCGATCTCCTGACCTCGTGATCCACCCGCCTCAGCCTCCCAAAGTGCTGGGATTACAGGCTTGAGCCACCGCGCCCGGTATCCCCACATTTTCTTCGATTCCCTTCATGATCTGTCGTTATCCATTTAAAGTTTTGGTGATGAGGAGAGATAGCCATAAACAATTTTGTATAAGGTCTGTGTTGGTACCAAGAGAATTTTAATCTGGTTCTCACAGCTCTAAGTTTGTAAAATGACCATATAAAATACTTAAGAAATAGGCCAGAAGCCGGGCGCGGTGGCTCAAGCCTGTAATCCCAGCACTTTGGGAGGCTGAGGCAGGTGGATCACGAGGTCGAGAGATCGAGACCATCCTGGTCAACATGGTGAAACCCCGTCTCTACTAAAAATACAAAAAATTAGCTGGGCATAGTGGCGCCTGCCTGTAATCCCAGCTACTCAGGAGGCTGAGGCAGGAGAATTGCCTGAACCCAGGAGGCGGAGGTTGCGGTGAGCCGAGATCGCGCCATTGCACTCCAGCCTGGGTAACAAGAGTGAAACTCCGTCTCAAAAAAAAAAAAAAAAAAAAAAAAAAGAAGCCGGGCGCGGTGGCTCAAGCCTGTAATCCCAGCACTTTGGGAGGCTGAGGCGGGTGGATCACGAGGTCAAGTGATCGAGACCATCCTGGTCAATATGGTGAAACCCCGTCTCTACTAAAGATACAAAAAAATTAGCTGGGCACGGTGGCACGTGCCTGTAATCCCAGCCACTCAGGAGGCTGAGGCAGGAGAATTGCTTGAACCCAGGAGGCGGAGGTTGCGGTGAGCCGAGATCGTGCCATTGCACTCCAGCCTGGGTAACAAGAGCGAAACTCTGTCTCAAAAAAAAAAAAAAAAAAAGAAATAGGCCAGGCACAGTGGCTCACGCCTATAATCCTAGCACTTTGGGAAGCTGAGGTGGCAGATATTTGAGGTCAGGAGTTTGAAACCAGACTGACCAACATGTTGAAATCCGGTCTCACTAAAAATATAAAAATTTAGCCAGGTGTGGTGGTGAGCACCTGTAAACCTAGCTACTCGGGAGGCTGAGGCAGGAGAATCACTTGAACCTGGGAGATGGAGGTTGCAGTGAACTGAGATCACTTCACTGCCCTCCAGTCTGGGTGACAGAGCAAGACTCTGTCTCAAAAATAAAATACTTAAAAAACAGAGTCCAGAGGTAGTTATGGGGAGATGGGGAGAGAATCACTGAGATACTGTCCTGGCTACAAGATCATATGGAAGATTCAGGGAAATGCTTGAGGTCCTCTGCCCCACTGTCACTCCCCATACCCTCCACCAAAAAAATACCTAAATAGACTCACGGATGAATAGAAAGAGTGAGCAAGCAGTTGCTTAGATACTGATTCTGTCAGTTCCTATGATCCTAAAACCTCTTAAGTAAACACTTTAGAAACTTTTCCAAAGTCCTGATTTTTGTAAAAGAAAGAAGGGGGGGGGGGAAACATAGTTATACTCAGATTAGTGTATGTCTTCATATTCACAGTAAATACTAAATTATCTGAGAAATACTAGATGAATCTGTTAATCAGTTACTTTTCATGTATGGATCCATAGAGTTGTTATATTTTTTACATTTAATTTCCCTCCCTTCAAAAAAACCTATTTATATATACCAAGCCTGGTTTTTCTCAAGTTACTTCATTAAATCCTTTTTAAGTATTGCATATGTTAATATTTTTTGCTATATTATTTTAAAACACAGCTTCAGATATGCTTCTCTAACTATATTTTCTCAGCAGCTCGTTAACAGTAAGTACCTTTCTTAGGTTGAGCTATATCCTAGGTATACAAAGTACACAGTTTGTCTGCTCTGTCAAATATACTGGAAAGGTATGATTATTGTTCCCTTCTATCGTTCTAACCTTGGCTCAGTCCCCACACCATACCCTGACATAACATCTTGAATGTAATTGTAGTGAGCTGATGTACAGATTATAATTGAAATTTTAAGTCTTACAACTCAATAGGTAAGTAGGAATAATAGTCTACTCCAGCATTGTCAAGTAAGAATATAATGCAAGCCACGTATGTTACTAAGTCTTCAGAAATCCAATGTGTATTTTATCTTTACAGTGTATATCAATTCAGACAAGTTCTCCGTAGCCACGTTGGCTGGCTAGTGGCTACTGTAATTGGACAGTACAAGTGTAGTCAGGATATGAAAAGAAAAAAATGAAAGTAATTAACAGGAAAACTGAGAAAGACGTTTTCCATTTTTTTGTTTGTTTTTTGAAAGAGTCTTGCTCTGTTGCCCAGGCTGGAGTGCAATAGCTCCATCTCAGCTCACTGCAACCTCTGCCTCCTGGGTTCAATCAATTCTTGTGCCTCAGCCCCCCGAGTAGCTGGGATTACAGGTGCGTGCCACCACGCCCAGCTAATTTTTGCATTTTTATTAGATACAGGGTTTCACCATGTTGGCCAGGCTGGTCTTGAACTTGAGACCTCAGGTGATCTGCCCACCTCAGCTTCCAAAGTGCTCGGATTACAGGCTTGAGCCACCACACCCAGCCAGTTTGTTTTTAAAACAGAATCTTAAGCAACATCTTGGAAATCAACAGGAATAGTTTTATCCTTGTTTTATCAATAACTTAAGATGTTTACATTTAGGATGGATGATCCATTTAAATTTTGAATTATTTTTTTTTTTTTTTTTTTTTGAGATGGAGTTTCGATCTTGTCTCCCAGGCTGTAATGCAATGGCACAGTCTCGGCTCACTGCAACCTCCGCCTCCTAGGTTCAAGCAGTTCTCCCTACCTCAGCCTCCTGAGTAGCTGGCACTATAGGCCAGCTAATCCTTTTTTTTTTTTTTTTTTTTGTATTTTTAGTAGAGATGGGGTCTTACCATTTTGGCCAGTCTGGTCTCGAACTCCTGACCTCAGGTGATCTGCCCACCTCAACCTTACAAATTGTGAAGATTACAGGTGTGAGCCACTGTACCTAGCCAATTTGTTTTATATCTTGAATTTTTATATTTAAAATGTTTGAGAGAAGCCTGCTACTTCTACTCTTAGTAAAACTACTAAATAGTCCTAAATGTTAAAATAACTGAGAGTTTTAATATCACCTTCTAAATAGTTAAGTCCTGAGTTTTATCATTAATGTCTTCTGTATAGTCCCAGTATGGGAATATGCTTTTTTAAATTCAAAATCCTTTTAGTGTTAGGGTAGCAGGCAAGTTTTTGTAAATAACAGCAACAAATACAGTGTTTGTCCTTTCCTTTTTAATGGGAAACAAAAGGAAAGTGGGCATTTAAGTTATGCCTGTCCGAAAAATATGCTTGGAGAACGTGAGCCGCCAAAGAAGAAAGAAAAAAAGAAAAAAAAGAAAGCTCCTGAACCAGAAGAAGAAATGTATGTATATTACCTTTACTAAATACATTATCGAGTTGCTTTTGTCTTTTTACTATTGGTTGGTTACATTACAATTTGATTTTCTTTATTTAAGTGAGGAAGTAGAAGAAAGTGAAGATGAAGGGGAGGATCCTGCTCTTGACAGCCTCAGTCAGGCCATCGCATTCCAGGTATTAAATTGTTCTTTTAAAAGGCATCATGCAATAGCTGACTTGGTTTATAGTCCTTGCTTACTTCATTGATCACCTCATGGCAACCTCTCTTTTTCCCCTTAACCTCGTAAGCTTTGGCAGGCAGGCTGTTTCTCTGAAGTACTTAGAACAGTGTGAATGAAAAGTTCCCATTGGTTCTTCCTAGATTTGGCCCGGCAACACTTAACTATCTTAACCTGTTTTGATTAAAGAAATGACCAGAACTGTTTGCTCAATGTGAATGCAGCCCAACAGAAAATACTTTTTTTTTTTTTTTTTTTTTTGAGACGGAGTTTCGCTCTTGTTACCCAGGTTGGAGTGCAATGGCGCGATCTCGGCTCACCGCAACCTCCGCCTCCTGGGCTCAGGCAATTCTCCTGCCTCAGCCTCCTGAGTAGCTGGGATTACAGGCACGTGCCACCATGCCCAGCTAATTTTTTGTATCTTTAGTAGAGACGGGGTTTCACCATGTTGACCAGGATGGTCTCGATCTCTCGACCTCGTGATCCACCCGCCTCAGCCTCCCAAAGTGCTGGGATTACAGGCTTGAGCCACCGCGCCCGGCTAGAAAATACTTTTTTTAGAAATTGCCTAGGATAATTTTGAGTAAGATTGTAAGATGGGACAGAACTCTGGGGAAGGGAGCAGATCTTATTGTTTGCATGGACTAGGAGGGTGGGAAGTAATGGCATTTGTGGTATGTTTTTGCCATGCTTTGAATTTATGAACCATAAATAATATTAAACAGGCTATTGGTTTTGGTTTTTTTGTTTTGTTTTGTTTTGTTTTAATCACATTGTAGCAAGCCAAAATTGAAGAAGAACAAAAAAAATGGAAACCCAGTTCAGCAGCCCCCTCAACATCAGATGATTCAAGACGCCCAAGGATAAAGAAAAGCACATATTTCAGTGATGAGGAAGAACTTAGTGATTAAAATCTTACCCTAGCACAGTAATAAAAATCAAGATTTGTTAGTAACAATCTTGAAGAGCTAATTTTAATAAAAATAAGAAAAGAATACTATCATGTTAATACTATTGTCATCTTAAGAAAAAAGGTATTTTAAAAATTTATTTGAAAAGTTCATCATAAGGGCTTTATTCATATCTGATTTGTTTACATGAGGACTTCTGAAATTTAATCCTTAAAAACTTCCTGAAGACCGAAAAGTTGAATGATTTATTGTTACTTATGTTAATAAACTTTTCAAGATAATTTTGTCCTTAAATATGGGTGTTTTGTCATCATATTTCTTGTAGCCTTAACCCAATCTGGATAAATTGTAAATACCTATAAAATATAAAGTAACATAGCTCTAAAAAGGTTAAAATCAAACACAGGTGTTATTTGTCTGTGCTACCCATAGCACCAAATTCCATTCCCTAGAAGAAACTACTCATATGTGCACACATTGCTAAATAAAATACATATATCTCTGTCACTTAATAAAAGAATAAAGGGGAATTATTCAATCTCATATACTTCTACCTTCCTCCATCTTCCTGATGTGGCTGTGTTAAAAATGTTGGGGAAATTCATATATATATATATATATATATATATATTTTTTTTTTTTTTTTTTTTTTGAGACGGAGTTTCGCTTTTGTTACCCAGGCTGGAGTGCAATGGCGCGATCTCAGCTCACCGATCTCGGCTCACCGCAACCTCCGCCTCCTGGGTTCAGGCAATTCTCCTGCCTCAGCCTCCTGAGTAGCTGGGATTACAGGCACGCGCCACCATGCCCAGCTAAATTTTTTTTGTATTTTTAGTAGAGATGGGGTTTCACCATGTTGACCAGGATGGTCTCCATCTCTTGCCCTCATGATCCGCCCACCTCGGCCTCCCAAAGTGCTGGGATTACAGGCGTAAGCCACCGCGCCCGGCCCATTGTTTTTGGGTTTTTTTTGGTTTTTTTTTTTTTTGAGATGGAGTTTTGTTCTTGTTACCCAGGCTGAAGTGCAATGGCGGGATCTTGGCTCACCGCAACCTCCGCCTCCTGGGTTCTGGCAATTCTCCTGCCTCAGCCTCCTGAGTAGCTGAGGATTACAGGCATGCGCCACCATGCCCAGCTAATTTTTTTGTATTTTTAGTAGAGATGGGGTTTCACCATGTTGACCAGGATGATCTCGATCTCTTGACCTAGTGATACACCTGCCTCGGCCTCCCAAAGTGCTGGGATTACAGGCGTGAGCCACCGCGCCCGGCTTATATGTATTTTTTTAATGACAATATAAATACTTTTCACTTCTGAGCCAAGGAATATGCTATGATTACGTTTTTCCTAGAGTTAATAATTGTCTGTTTTTTTCCATGTTATCTTTTTTGTATTTATGACTAAATCTTCCCATTCTATCTACAGGTGCTTATATGGGAATGGGATTAGAGAGCCTTTAATTTTCTACTTTGTATATTTCTATATTGTTTAACTTTGTAAGAACACCCATTTTTTAACAGTAAAAGCAATAAAAATAAAGTTAATACTATCATAGTAATACTATTATTGTCATCCCAAGAAAACATATTAAAAAGATTTATTTAAAAAGTTCATTATAAAGGAATGAAATGTGAATCTATAGCCTTAAAAAAAAAAGAAAAGTTCATTATAAACCTTTTCGTTTTTCCACTTTGAAAACCACAAACACAATGAAAGTGTTAACTACCCACCAGCAAAGAATAGAATCTTCTAGATCTCAACAAACCAGACAGAATGATTGCATGCATTATTCAGCTGTCTGTTTGGCCATTAATTAGCCAAATACCACAACAGGCTTTTTAAAATTTTTTTTTTTTTTTGAGACGGAGTTTCGCTCTTGTTACCCAGGCTGGAGTGCAATGGCGCGATCTCGGCTCACCGCAACCTCCGCCTCCTGGGTTCAAGGGATTCTCCTGCCTCAGCCTCCTGAGTAGCTGGGATTACAGGCACGTGCCACCATGCCCAGCTAATTTTTTTGTACCTTTAGTAGAGACGGGGTTTCACCATGTTGACCAGGATGGTCTCGATCTCTTGACCTCGTGATCCACCCGCCTCAGCCTCCCAAAGTGCTGGGATTACAGGCTTGAGCCACCGTGCCCGGCAAAAAATTTTTTTTAAACTTAATTTATTTACTATTTTTTGAGACAGAGTCTCGCTCTGTCGCCCAGGCTGGAGTGCAGTGGTGCGATCTCGGCTGACTGCAACCTCCACCTTCCAGGTTTGAGCGATTCTCCTGCCTCAATCTCCTCTTCATATGTTGGCAGAGATGACCACCATTATATCTAAAGCTAGAAATCCCAACAAAGAAAACTCCTTTCCCAGTCGTCCCAGCAAAAGTTCCAAGAAAAGCCCTGATTGGCTAGGTCTCTGTCATAGTCCTCCATTCTTCAAAATAAGTAGTCCCACCCAAACTACAACAAGTGAAAGTGTTCCTATGCAACACGCTGTCTATTGTCAATGTGGAAATTATCCTTTCAAAAGAATCTAAAGCTTGAAAACCTCCTTTCAATATTTCCAAGGGCAGAATACTGAGACAGCCAAGCAGGACACATAAAGATTCAGGCCAGGTACAGTAGCTCATGCATGTAATCTCAACACCGGGAGGCTGAGGCAGGTGGATGCCCAGAAGTTCAAGACCAGCCTGACAAACATAGTGAAACCCCATCTCTACTAAAAATACAGAATTAGTCAAGTGTGGTGGCACAAGCCTGTAATCCTAGCTACTTGGAATGCTGAGGCAGGAGAACTGCTTGAACCCAGGAGGCGGAGGCTGCAATGAGCTGAGATCCCGCCACTGCACTCCAGCCTGGACAACAGAGTGAGACTCTATTCTCAGAAAGAAAAAGAAAAGAAAAGACTATATATGTAAAGAAGGTGAAAACCTCCTTGGAAAATAGTTTAATAAGCACTGTTACTTTAACAATGTGAACAGCTACAGTCAGACTGAGCCCTCAGTCTGCAGGCATCCCCAAACTTTTTACACAGGGGGCCAGTTCACTGTCCCTCAGACCGTTGGAGGGCCGCCACATACTGTGCTCCTCTCACTGACCACCAATGAAAGAAGTGCCCCTTCCTGAAGTGCGGCGGGGGGCCGGATAAATGGCCTCAGGGGGCCGCATGTGGCCCGCAGGCCTTAGTTTGGGTACACCTGGTCTAGAGAATGGGCTTAAGCCATTGTCAATTTTTAAAACACTGTGTTTATAAGATCCAAATTTTGGCTGGGCATGGTGGCTCACACCTGTAATCCCAGCACTTTGGGAGGCCGAGGCGAGTGGATCACGACGTCAGGAGTTCCAGACCAGCCTGGCCAAGATGGTGAAACCCCGTCTCTATTAAAAAAAAAAAAAAAGGCCAGGCACGGTGGCTCAAGCCTGTAATCCCAGCACTTTGGGAGGCCGAGGCGGGTGGATCACGAGGTCAAGAGATCGAGACCATCCTGGTCAACACAGTGAAACCCCGTCTCTACTAAAAATACAAAAAATTAGCTGGGCATGGTGGTGTGTGCCTGTAATCCCAACTGCTCAGGAGGCTGAGGCAGGAGAATTGCCTGAACCCAGGAGGCGGAGGTTGCGGTGAGCCGAGATCACGCCATTGCACTCCAGCCTGGGTAACAAAAGCGAAACTCCGTTATCAAAAAAAAAAAAAAAAAAAAAGGCCGGGCGCGGTGGCTCACGCCTGTAATCCCAGCACTTTGGGAGGCCGAGGCGGGTTGATCGCGAGGTCAAGAGATCGAGACCATCCCGGTCAACATAGTGAAACCCCGTCTCTACTAAAAATACAAAAAAAATAGCTGGGCATGGTGGTGCGTGCCTGTAATCCCAGCTACTTAGGAGGCTGAGGCAGGAGAATTGCCTGAACCCAGGAGGCGGAGGTTGCGGTGAGCCGAGATCGCACCATTGCACTCCAGCCTGGGTAACAAGAGCGAAACTCCGTCTCAAAAAAAAAAAAAAAAATTAGCTGGGCATGGTGGCGCGTGCCTGTAATCCCAGCTAGTCAGGAGGCTGAGGCAGGAGAATTGCCTGAACCCAGGAGGCGGAGGTTGCGGTGAGCCGAGATCGCGCCATTGCACTCCAGCCTGGGTAACAAGAGCGAAACTCCATCTCAAAATAAAAAATAAAAAAAAAATAAAGCCAAGCAAACTTGCTCTAAAATCAATACGCTAAATCTCTATGCTATGCTCCTTCTCTCAAAAAGTACTCAATTATATTACTGGCCGGGCGCAGTGGCTCACACCTGTAATCCCAGCACTCTGGGAGGCCAACTCACCTGAAGTCCAGAGTTCGAGATCAGCCTGGCCAACATGACGAAACCCCGTCTCTACTAAAAGTACAAAAATTACAGGCATGGTGGCACATGCCTGTAGTACCAACCACTCAGGAGGCTGAGGCAAGAGAATCACTTGAACCTGAGAGGCGGAGGTTGCAGTGAGCAGAGATTGTGACACTGCACAGTGAGACTCTGTCTCAAAACACCAACAACAAAAGTTATAGTACTGCCTTATCAACTAAACGAAGGTGGCTTTCTTTTTTTTTTTGGAGACAGAGTCTCCCACTGTTGCCTGGGCTGGAGTGCAATGGTGCAATCTCGGCTCACTGCAACCTCTGCCTCCCGGGTTCAACTGATGCTCCTACCTCAGCCTCCTGAGTAGCTGAGATTACAGGCACACACCAACACACCCAGCTATTTTTTTTGTATTTTTAGTAGAGACAAAGTTTCACTATGTTGGCCAGACTGGTCTCAAACCCCTGACCTCATGATCCACACACTTCGGTCTCTCAAAGAGCTGGGATTACAGGTGTGAGCCACCACACCTGGCAGAGAAGGTGGTTTTAAATTTCATTTTACAAACATAAGCATAACAATTTGTTTTATTCTATCAGTGATTTTTCTGGAGGTGGAAATATTCCTGGAATAACCAACAAATTTTAAAGTTAAAAGAGTAAATATATTATGCCCTAGTGCTTTCTTTAAAAAATTTAATAATAGGGATTTTCCCCCTCTGGGGTCCCCTTCCACCCTCGTGGAAGCTGCTTTTCCTCTCCTAAACGCCATCTCTCTCTCTATTCCCTTCCACTCAGGGTGTAAGCTGCTTTCCTCTCCTGGATTCCATCTTTCTGGATTCTCTCACTCAGTGTGAGAGCTAGCTGTTTCTTTTTTTTTTTTTTTTTTGGAGACGGAGTTTCGCTCTTGTTACCCAGGCTGGAGTGCAATGGCGCGATCTCGGCTCACCGCAACCTCCGCCTCCTGGGTTCAGG